ATATTAAAACACCTAGATTTACAAAATTTAAAATTAATTAAAATTGAATATATAAAAAATTTGGCCCACAAATTAAAACACACATACACCCATTATAAAATTCGTATTAGGCCAGCCCGGCTTGCTGGAACAGAAGGGTCTTCAAGGTGCAGCGAAAGGTATGCAGGTCGGGGCTAAGACGGACTTCTAGGGGCAGCTCATTCCAGAGGGCTGGTGCCCCCACAGAGAAGGCTCTCCCCCTGGGTGTCGCCAGTCAGCACTGTTTGGCCGATGGTACCCTGAGGAGCCCCTCTCTGTGGGAGCATATTGGCCGGTGGGAGGCTGTTGGTGCCAGAAGGCGGTCTCGTAAATACCCCGGTCCTAAGCCATGGAGCGCTTTAAAGGTGGTGACCAACACCTTGAATCACACCCAGAAGACCACCGGGAGCCAGTGCAGCTCGCGCAGGAGAGGTGTTACATGGGTGTGCCGAGTCGCCCCCATAACCACCTGCGCGACAGCATTCTGGACCAGTTGGAGCCTCCGAGTGCTCTTCAAGGGGAGCTCCATGTAGAGAGTGTTACAGCAGTCTAGACAGGCCGTGACGAGGGCATGAGTGACCGTGCGCAGGGCATCCCGGTCCAGAAAGGGACACAACTGGTGCATCAGGCGAACCTGATAAAAAGCTCCCCTGGCCACAGCCGTCATATGATCTTCCAAAGACAGCCGTGCATTCAGGAGAACACCCAAGTTGCGTGCCCTCTCTGAGGGGGCCAGAATCTCGCCCCCAATAGTCAGCGATGGAGCCAACTGACTATACTGGGATGCCGGGAACCACAGCCACTCGGTCTTGGAAGGGTTGAGTCTGAGTTCGTTCCTCCCCATCCAGATCCGCATGGCCTCCAGGCATTGGGACATCACGTTAAGGGCATCATTGGGGTGGTCCGGGGTGGAGATGTACAGCTGAGTATCATCAGCGTACTGATAGAACCTCACCCCGAAACCACGGATGATCTCGCCCAGCGGCTTCACATAAATGTTGAACAGAAGGGGCGAGAGGACTGACCCCTGCAGCACCCCACATACAAGACACCTCGAGGTCGACCTCTGCCCCCCTGCCAACACAAACTGCATACGGTCGGAGAGGAAGGAGGAGAACCACCGCAACACGGTGCCCCCCACTCCCAACCCCTCCATTGGTCGCAGCATGATACCATGGTCGATGGTATCAAAAGCCACTGAGAGATCTAATAGGACCAGGACAGAGGAACAACCCCTGTCCTGACCCGTCCAGAGATCATCAACCAATGCGACCAATGCCGTTTCCGTACTGTGCCCCGGCCTGAAGCCCAACTGGAACGGATCTAGATAATCCGGGTTCAAGTCTTTCTAAATATCTGTCAGGGATGTCAAGCTCGATTTCATTGATAGCCGCATCAGAGTTGTGTTTGACCTCGGGAGGGCTGGGAGTGTGTGGCCAGCTCAATGTCACTTGTGTAGGGGGGGCATGGTGGCCCAAGTGCACTCCCAGTGAAAATGGGCTCCTGAGTTCCGTTTTCACCTGCAAAAGCCTCCAACCCTCTGCCAGCGAAAACAGAGCTCGGGAGGGCCACCCATTTTTGCTGGCAGAGGCATATGGGATGGTTCTTTGGTGTTTTCAGGGCAGCCCCATGGGCCAGATCTAAGCACCCCGTGGGCCAGATCCAGCCCGCAGGCCTTCAGTTTGACACTTTACTTACTTTACTTTACTTTATTCAAATTTCTATACCGCCCTTCTCCTTTCGGACTCAGGGCGGTGAACAGCCAAGATAAAAACATCTATACAAAAACATCACAGTTAAAAATAAAGTTAAAATAATTTATAAATTTGGCCCATAATTTAAAACTTGTCAATTAAAATCAATATTAAAATTTTAAAACTAACCCTAAAATCAAGACAGACCGGCTAACTGGAAAAAATGAGTTTTTAGGGCCCGACGAAAAATCCGAAGGTCGGAGATCACTCGTATCTCTGGGGGTAGATTGTTCCATAGGGTAGGTGCCACCACAGAGAAGGCTCTCCTCCTGGGGGTCGTCAGCCGGCATTGTCTGGCCGACGGCACCCTGAGGAGGCCCTCTCTGTGGGAGCGAACCGGCCGGTGGGAGGCTATTGGTGGCAGAAGGCGGTCCTGTAAGTACCCTGGCCCTAAGCCATGGAGCGCTTTAAAGGTGATCACCAACACCTTGAAGCGCACCCGGAAGTCCACCGGAAGCCAATGCAGCTCGCGCAGGAGAGGAGTCACATGGGAGCGCCCCGTCGCTCCCATAATCCCCCGCGCAGCCGCATTCTGCACCAGTTGGAGCCTCCGGGTGTGCCCCAAGGGGAGCCCCATGTAGAGAGCGTTACAATAGTCCAGACGAGAAGTGACGAGTGCTTGAGTGACCGTGCGTAGGGAGTCCCGGTCCAGAAAGGGGCACAACTGGCGTATCAGGCGAACCTGACAAAAAGCCCCCCTGGCCATGGCTGTCATATGCCCTTCTAAAGACAGCCGCGCATCCAGGAGGACACCCAAGTTCCGGGCCCTCTCCGTGGGGGCCAATGATTCGCCCCCAATAACCAGCGATGGCATCAGCTGGCTATACCGGGACGCCGGCAGCCACAGCCACTCGGTCTTGGAAGGGTTGAGTCGAAGCCTATTTCTCCCCATCCAGGCCCGCACGGCCTCCAGGCACTGGGACATCACTTCCAAGGCATCATTGGGATGGTCTGGGGTGGAAATGTACAGCTGAGTATCATCAGCGTACTGATGGAACTCCACCCCGAAACCACGGATGATCTCGCCCAGCGGCTTCACATAAATGTTGAACAGGAGGGGCGAGAGGACCGACCCTTGCGGCACTCCACAAACAAGGCGCCTCGGGGTCGACCGCTGCCCCCGTCAACACGGATTGCGACCGGTCGGAGAGATAGGAGGAGAACCACTGCAAAACGGTGCCCCCCACTCCCAGTCCCTCCAGCCGGCGCAACATGATACCATGGTCGATGGTATCAAAAGCCGCTGAGAGGTCTAATAGGACCAGGATAGAGGAAGAACCCCTATCCCGGGCCCTCCAGAGATCATCCACCAACGCGACCAATGCCGTTTTCGTGCTGTACCCAGGTCTGAAGCCGGACTGGAGCGGATCCAGATAGACAGCTTCATCCAGGTACTGGGGAAGCTGTCGCGCCACCACACTCTCAACAACCTTCGCAATAAAGCGAAGGTTGGAGACTGGACGATAGTTAGCCAAAACAGCCGGATCCAGGGATGGCTTCTTGAGGAGACACCCCTGACCTATGTGGTGTTTCACATACTACATACATTAGCTGTCTCCATCCTTTTTGGCTCAGGACTGGCGGAGGTAGCAGTGGGGAGAGGGGATGGTTTTGCATGTGTGCGCCACTTTCACAAATGCAGCTTCATGTGCACATGCGCTTACTCACCACTTCCATGGCCCAGTTCTGAACGGGTTATGGCCCAGCACCGGGCCACAGACTGGGGGTTGAGCACCCCTGCTATACTCGTTACAGGTTGATCATTCTCTTATTTCAGGTGGAGCTATCTAGGAGTCATCCAGGTCATGGTTGTCCCAAGGATGCTTTTTCAAAAGGCAACTGGACTTTCTTGTTTTTCTTTGAAGACGTTTCGCTTCTCATCCAAGAAGCTTCTTCAGCTCTGACTGGATGGTGGGGAATGGAAGGATTTAGATTCCTTGCAGACAGCTGGTCATTTGCATTCTTTTAGTTGTTGAGGCCACTTAGAGGTTTATGTTATTCTCAGGGTCACCAGAGTAGTGCAAATAGGTGTGGAGCCTTCTTGGAACTGCTGAAAGGACTCTGTTGTAGACTAGAGATAGATGATGTTGTATCCGTCCCGCTCTGTTCGGGGGAGGGGGGCTGTTCAATTTTGACATAGATGGCCTATTTGACCTCTCTTTCAAAACAGACTGCCATCTATGTCAAAATTGAACAGCCCCCCGTCATCCTAAACTCTACTGAAGATGTTGCCTAGCCTGTTAACGAAATGTTTGGAAACCAACCCACAAGCTCGGAGAATGAACCTTCGCCCTCATTCTCTGGGTGGTTTACAATGTCAGCATATTGCTCCCGACTATCTGGGTTCTCATTTTACTCACCTTGGAAGGATGGAAGACCGAGTCAACCTTGAGCTGGTCAAGATCTAATTCCAGACTGTGGACAGACTTTACCTGCAATATTGCATTTAACTACTGCCCCATAAGAAATTGTGACTTTTTTGCCAGATGTAATGGCCAAACAGTGATACACGATATTCATAATAAACATGTTGCTATTTGGTAAAGGATTGGTATGGGAATAATAAAAGTCATCCTTCAGGATTTTTAGCCAAATTAAGTAGAGGTAACTCCCCAATTGGTTATGACACTATCTGATAGCTTTAACAATATTATCTGCCTAATTTGCCTATCAACTTCCATTAAATATCCCAAATGTAGGCATTACAGGTAGACCTTGACTTACAACAGTTCATTTAGTGACTGTTACAGTGGCACTGGAAAAAAGTGACTTATGACCGTTTTTCACACTTACAACCGTTGCAGCATCCTCATGGTTACATGATCAAAATTTGGGTGCTGGACAACGAACTCATATTTATGACTGTTGCCGTGTCCCAGGGTCATATGATTACCTTTTGCAATCTTCTTATAAGAAAGTCAATGGGAGAGCCATATTCTCTTAGCAACTGTGTTACTAACTTAATAACTGCAGTGATTCATTTAACAACTGTGGCAAGAAAGGTCGTAAAATGGGGCAAAATTCACTTAAGAAATGTTTCACTTAGTAACATAAATTTTGGGCTCAATTGTGGTCGTAAGTCAAGGGCTACCTGTGTTAGGAAATACTCTATTCTTTTATGGTGCATAAAAAATTTGTTTCCTCTTAATAATAGGCTGTTCCTGGGGGTTTTGTTTTCTTTTTATTGCAAACACTCCCAAACTCACAGCATTTTCATTTTCCTTACAGAAGAGGATGGAAAATGAATACAATAGTTCCCTCTGAAGAGAAGCCAAAGGTAAACATACTGTCGAATACATTGTCTTAAATCCATACAAAGAGAGTGACAATTTTTTTGCTGTTTGCACCAGGAGATCATGCAACTCTAAACATCACTGCAGGTACTCTAAAAAGCTCCTGAATGGTATGTACTATAAAAAGGTTAAAAAGCCAGAGGGCACAACATGTATGCTTGCTACTTATCTTAAAGAAGGCAAGATGCCACGTTTAAAACAAACAAAACTCCCTGATAATTCAGTCAAATGATAAGCTCGGTGAGTGCAAAATATTACAGGAAATGCTACGAGTGTCAAACTGATTAAGGTTCCGGGGGCAAGTGGTGTCCCAGCCATGGAAATCTTGAATAACAGAAAGGTCTTGAATCTCCAGAACAAGGTTAGAGCTGAGGTTGAAGAGATGAAGCTATTCCATCCTCACTTATGATAGAGTCAATTCTTCTCTTGTGATACCCACAGCCAAAGAGGAAGAAGTATAATTAGCAAGAGTGATTCTTTTCTTGTTACGATTAAAAAAAAAAAAAAAAAAAGGGGGGGGGGGAGTTTCCAAAAAGTAAAGCCTGGTTTACTGAATGCAGGAGGTTCTAATTCTTATAAATTCTTAAATAAGAATGACAGTCATGATTCTTATAAGTCACCAGTGTTTCTCAAGCCAGCTGGTGAATTCTGGGAGTTGAAATCTGCACCTCTTAAACTTGCCAAGGTTGAGAAACACTGAACCATCCAGCGTCTCTTTCATCTGAATAGGTGCCAAGATATAGCAGCTAAAGGCAAGAAAAATGAGGAAATGATTTCCATTCTCACTCGTATCCTATCAAGACCTGAAAGTTGTATTTTCTTTTTTTCTTCCTAGGTATCAGGAACCTGGCCCATGAATAGTCTTTTAAAAATCTCTTCCTACTTTAACTCCAGAGAATATGCACTCTATTTGCTCTACAATCTTACTTAGTGTGAAATCTCTGGGTGCTATGTATTTCTGCCTTTCCAATCTCCCATTATGTTCAGCATATGGCATGTGTAGTAATTATCATCAGCTTTTCAAAAGTGTAATTTGAGCTCTTCTAAAGACATTCCCTTCTTCCAGCAACGTTCTGCCTCTTCAAATTGTTTTTTGAGAGTTTATAATATTTCTACTTTTTCTGTAGGCTTTCCTACCGAGGAATAACCATTTCTTAAATATGGTTATCAGTGCTCAAAAACCATTTCATCAAAATTCAACCCATTGAAAAGATGCATTCACCCCGTGTATTACTTCCAAAATAGCTTAATTTCCTCATTTCGCAGCTGTGTCATAAAGAGAATTTAAACATTAATAATTTTGCCTTGCGGGGATAATCATCTTTTTGTTTCATGGTTTTATTGTTGCACTAATGGTTGGTGGAGATCAAAAAAGCAATTATCAATTCATGCAGGAATAAAGATGCTTCAGGTAGCGTGGTCATTTGGAAGAGCTGGAATGGAAATGAAACACTGAAGGAATGGACTTACTAAGTCAGTGATGGCTAACCCTTTTGCCATCGCGTGCCAGGAGCAGGGAGAGCGTGGGGGGGGAGGGTGTCGCATGCGTGCCCATACCCATAATTCTATGCACCCCGCCCCATGCATGCACGCACGATCCCCCCCACCCCCCGCTCCTGGCACGCGATGGCCCGGTGGGCCCATTTTTCTCTCTCCCCAGGCTCCAGAGCCTTTCTAGGAGTCTGGGAAGGGTGAAAACAGCCTTCCCCAACCCCCCCCAGAAGCGCTCCAGAGGCTGAAAACAGCCTGTCTGCTAACTTCCGGTGGGACCGGAAGGCCTGTTTTTTGTCTCCCCAGGCTCCAGAACCTTTCTAGGAGTCTGGGGAGGGCGAAAACGGCCTTCCCCACACACCCGGAGTCCCTCTGGAGGCTGAAAAGGCCCGTTTGCCAACTTCCAGTCCCACTGGAGCTGAGCTCGCGTGCCCACCAATATGGCTACGCGTTCCACCTGTGGCATGCGTGCCATAGGTTCGCCATCACGGTACTAAGTACTCATAATATTAAAGAAGTACCTGTTTCTGTGAAAGGCTCTAAATGCAACTTTTTTGTCCTTAGATGTTCTCTTTGTTTGGCTTTGATATCCATTCTTAGGTATCAAGGCAACATGAATGTTGGAAGTGGACATTTGTGATTGAGATGTTGAAAGACATTCTTCCGCATTCCTTTAGAGGACTTTGATTTGGTTGAAATGTAATAAAAGAGACATGCTACCATGGCTCCTTATCTGAATTTGCCTGAACTAGAAGGATCTGTTTGTAGAGCAGTCATAATCACCAAAATGCAATATAAGGGCAGCTTTCTCTGTGTATGTCTATCATCACACAAACATGTTTCAAATCTGACTTTTCCTCCTCCATGGGGATTTGTACAGAGATCCACACAAGAAAGGATCATAACTATTAGCCTGCATTGCACAGGATGAATTCTTCAATTCACAATATTACTTCAAGGTCCTAAAAAGCTAGAAGAGTTTTGTTTGTGGAATGGAATGAATTTCTTTCATTAAGGTCAAATTTTGGTTAGAAAATGATGAAGCTGAAAAACAGGTTTGTCTGGAATCTTCCTGATGACATTAAAACCAATTTCCAAAAATAATAATATGATGTATCAAATCTCCCTTTGTAGATGGGGAAAAGATGCACGTTAAGTTCTTTTAACAGTGGCCATGTTCATTATCAATTTATCCCAACAGCTAAGGAAAGGAATTTAACATTAAATAGGATTTTATTTTCTTTTTTAACATGTGTAAACAATTTGTATTTGTTTCCAATTTATTAGGTGAGACAGAACTTCAGAGGTAGGATTTTGCCTGTCATCTGTTGCTGTAACTGGGTGGTGGGGTGGGATACTCAGAAATTTAATGTGTTCCTCTTTGAGCTGTGGTAGGTAGCCAGGTACAAAGGAGGATAGGACTACTGTGCCTTTTTAAACGAAGTCACATGATCAACTGCAGTGGAGATTCCCTCTTTTACAAAGCTATTAAAGAAACAATGTCTGTCCTCCTTCCAATCACATGGAGTAGATCAGGGATGCCCAAGCTTGGTAATTTTAAGACTTACGGACATTAGCTCCCAGAATTGGCTGGTTGGGGAATTCTGGGAATTGAAGTCCAATTCTGGGAATTGAAGTTGCCAAGCTCGGGCACCCTGTAGTAGATATTTAAGGTGGCCAGAGTTGCTTGTGAGCCTAAAATAGCAATTACCATATATACTTAGAAAACAATACCTGTGCAGTCTCCTGGAAAAAAATCATTTCTTTCTAGGCACTGCCTAAAACACAGTTGCTAAGATGCTGCTTTTGAACACATACAATCTAACATCAAAGTATTTAATGGAAAGAAACTCTCTATTGATTAAAGGTAAAAGGCAGCAGCCATATTCTTCTAAAAAAAAGTAGAAATTAAGGCTTCTTTCAAGACAAAAAGAGGTACAGTCCCTTTCAGAGGTAGGTGCTGCCAACACCAGAAAGGAAATCCTTGTTTCGATTAGCCAACATCTGGCTAAAAATTTCTGGGAAGCTTTTATAGCTATAGCAGCAGGAATTATCTTCTCATACTGTTGCAATGCCAGAGAAGCAAAATTTGCTGGAAGCTTCCCTTCTTGACATAAGTACAGCATTGGAACTCCATTCTCTGTTCAGTCTAGTAAATTAAGATGCCGTAAAGGACTTAATCCAGAGACTGGGGTTTTCTCCCCCTAACACAGTGCATTGGTAATGGAAAATTCTGCAAGCTGCAGGCCAGCACCTTTGAGAAACATGGTGAAGGATATGTGCTTATGGAATCTTAGAGCTGGTGTTAAACATGAGTCTATTTCACGTCTCTTTTGCTTTTACACTGGGGGAGAATCACTTATTCCCTTCCTGAACAAACCAGAAACGGGGGACAGAACCACTGAAATTGGTGCTAATCCTTCCCTTGATGGTGGACTTCTATGAGGCCCACTGTCATTGGTTGATTACATGAACAGAAGTGCCAATGCCATTCTAGTTACAAACCTCTTGCAATAGTAAATAACATTGTCTATTTACCAATATGCAGGGAAGAGAGGGAGCTCTTTTGAAGTTTAGGAAATAAATCCAATGATCACTGCTCTTTGCTTCTAAACTTTTCCTTGAGGGTGCAAGAAAATACTGCGTGGGAATTCCTCCCACGTATTTCCCAGATCCTCCCGCTAAACATGAAGAAGCCCAAATCAGAATAATAGTCTGGAATTTAAAAGCATCTTTCTTTCAGATCAAATGTACTGTGTAACAGTAATATCATTAATAATGACTCTAATAAATAGATACAGGGAAGAGGGGAAAGCATTAAACACACAAAGATGGACAGGTTGGGCTGGCACACAGATTTACCACACACTCATCTGTTCACTTCTTAAAAAGGTACAAAACCAATTTTTCTTTCAAGTATTAAAAAATAAGTTAATGGACATTAAAGGATCTAAAGTGACTAAAGGGCCAGGATAGGTCTTCTGCTTCATTTCTGACGTGCAAAAAAAAAGAAAAAAAGGGGGAAAGGAAAAAAAATATTCCCCAAAACACAAAGAGTCCAAAACCTACTGAACAGCCCACTCTTGGAAAGTTTGAAAGCTGGAGAACTATCCCCAGGAGATCCCTCAAAACGCTTCAGAATGAAACCATCTTTTGATAATAAGCACTTTCCAGTGTCTAAATGGTCATCGAGTTCACAATAGAGCAGTCCAAGGTCATCAGAAAACAGGAAACAGCTTCGTTCAGTTCGGAGCACTTCGTGGCCAAAAGGAAAAAGTTTGCATGCTGGAACTGCTTGGAACGATGGCAACTCCTGGAGATTGCAGAGAATGGGGGTGGGGAAGTCTGCCTCTGTCCCTCTTTGTAGAAATCACAAGAAACCACGTTTCAAGTTCTTAGCGTTCCAAGTTTTCCGTCAACATTCAGATATGGATGTTCCTCCATACGTAGACCACAGTGGCAGCTTCGGATTTCTTTGGTGAGAAGAGCATAT